TATATGCAACGATACAGAAAATTCATGATTCGGTTCGGTTCAATACTTTAGTCTCACAGTTCGATATTTTTTCGATACGAAAAAGAGAAATGTCCATGCCATTTTTAACTTGTAATTTATTCAAATTAATCATAAACATTTGTTTAACCTCAAAACTCCAGGTTTTAAATTAAATGTTGCTGAAACAGCAAGTTTCTCAGAGGATCTGCGCTCAAAAATGCAGCYTAGGTGGAGTAGTCGAACACAAATCCACTGATCCTTCAACACAGAGCATCTTCAGAAGACAAGTTGRTAAAATAAAATAAAAAGTCTGTATTGTTGAACCTAAAGCTCTGTATTGAACGGTTCGATACGGGTAACATGTATTGTTGCAGCCCTAATATAGAGAGATTTTTTAAATTGGGGGCAGATATTATAAGATTCTTTTCTTCTTTCTGCTCCTTTTCATTTAGTGATATTGTGCATTTTTTGTTTGTTTTTAATATGTTTTTTTKTTTGTTTGTTTGTTTAAATGAAATAAATTGGGTGAAAACTGTGATTTTCTCCTCTCCCTGCAGGACTCAGCGTTTCCTCAGCGGGCCGTTCTCTCCCGGAGTGGAGCTCAGCGCTCAGGTGCTGGTGGTCTCCAACGACGGGCGCCTGCTGTTCAGCGGCGGACACTGGGACTGCAGCCTCCGCGTCACCCAGCTGGGGAAAGGGAAGCTGGTGGGCCGGATCTGCCGTCACATCGGTCAGCTCCTCTCCGTTCCGGATCGCATCTCTCATCCTYGTCTCTTCCTCGTGTTCATTTAGCGTTTTTTTTTTTTCTGTGTTTCACAAAGACGTGGTCACGTGCCTGGCTCTGGACCTGTGTGGCATCTACCTCATCTCCGGGTCACGGGACACATCCTGTATCGTGTGGCAGGTTCTGCAGCAGGTGACTGTCTGCATGCGTCTGTCGGTCCGCTCGGTTTAAACAAAACCTTCGTTTGAAACGTCCCTTTCATCGTCCTTCAGGGTGGATTCTCCAGTGGCCTGTCTCCTCGGCCGGTGCAGMTTCTGTGTGGACACGACCAGGAGGTGACCTGCGTGGCCATCAGCACTGAACTGGACATGGCTGTCTCAGGGTCAAAGGTCAGAAATGCTACTTTTGTGATTTGTGACTCGCAAAATGAGCGCAAAATAAGTGAAATTGTTAGTTTTTTGCCATAATTTGCATAAATTTTTTGTCCAAAAAGACACCACCTCGCGAGCCCAGCAACTAAAATAGCAATTTTCTCAAAACATATTGAAAATAAAATAAAATGATGACTACCACACTAGCT